CCTCCTTCTCCTCCTCCTCCTCCTCCTTCTCCTCCTTCTCCTCCTTCACCTCCTCCCTCTACTCCTCCTTCTTCTCCTCCTCCTCCGGCTCCTCGTCCTCGCCTCGACGACTCTTGCTCCTCTTCGTCGGCTCAGTTCCTCGACCGACTCGATCGAACCGTCGAGGCGCGCAGGACTCGACGTCTCGGCGTCACTCTGGCCGAATCGGAACGAGATCTCGACACGCATGACGTCGAAAAGACGAGCGTTGAACAAGACCGCGATCGCTGCCTCCGACACATGCAACGCGCCCAGCGTCAGCGCCACCTTCACCTGCAACAGATCGCCGACGCCAATGCCAACGTCAACGCCAACGTCAACGCCAATGCCGACGCCGACGGCGCCGACGTTGTCGAGGGGCAGAAGAGCGTGGACGAGGCCTACGGTGCGTGGCTTCGAGATTGGCAATTGTATCGAGACGAAGTGTTGACGCCGCGGTTGCAATTGCTGTCGCGATTGGCCGATCTTGAGGCGGATCTGGCCGAATGTACCGGTCGTCTGAATCAGCTGATCGAGTACACGTGCCGAGAGACGAGCGCCAAGGCGACGGCGATTGCGGCGGTTGGGAGGATCGAGAAAGCGGCCAGTTTGACAGAACGTGAACTGAAGCAGATGCGCACCATCCGATTGGAGGTGGAGGGCATGCGGGATACCGTCCCGGTCAGTCTGAATGATATCATTTTGGTATTTTTTCCTCGCTTGTTCAGGCACCATTTTGATCGGATCCGAACTGAAAATGTCAGAATTCAATGCAGAAACACTGAAATTGCTGTTTTATTCCAGAATTAGATCACAGTTTTATCATCTTAAACTGAAGCATGCTCAGGTGTGTGGGTTGTGTATGGTGTGTGTGGGTGCGTGTTTGTGTGTGGCAACCAGACTCGCTTGCTCTCTCTCTCTATTTCGAGCTTTCCCTTCGACTCAATCCTACTCCGTTCTTCATGAGGCCAATTCACAAAGTCTTTCCAACCAACATTTCCTTCAGAGAACTGTGGGGTTTTAGTTTATAAAAAGGTCTTTGATGCTACCAGTATGTCATATACACAAGATGTATTCATACTATTTAGCTTGCGCTGGGTCAAGCACAACTCCCTCTTCAATTTAAACAAAATAGGGCGATTATATCTCATTTAAATGATCAACTTGTGGTCTCGAAAGACCATTGGTAAGTTAATTAAGTAATACAGTCGATTGCAATAATAAATGCAATTTGGCTGAGCTTCCTTGAAATAATGAAGAGAAGCTGAGTTTCGAAGAAGATTGAAACTGGCCAACCTTTGATTTCGTTTGAGAAGGCGGTTCAAAGGGATTCGTAGATTAGCCTCATCCGACACCAAAGGAGGGTTGTCATGGACTTTCGGCTCACCGTCCTACGACCCCGATGCCTTTGTGTCGAGCTTTCGTCCGTCAAGTCACGGACCTCGTCAGAGACAGAAGAGGTTATTCGCGAAAAATCAAGAAAATATACAACTTTTCGTCCAGACTGTTAATGCTATCATCCTGAAAGTTTTCGAGAAAAATAGGCGAATTATTGAAGAAATGGAGTTTCAAGACAATGTATAAAGATGTGCTTATTTCCATTTAGAGTGAAAATATTGGATTAAAATATTTGAAGGACGCATCCACCAGAAGACGACGGCCGATTCCTCTCGATCAGCTGTCGATTGGCTTTACTGTTTCCGAGGGGATCTTATTCGATTTTGGTGAAATGCTACTAAGCTTTCGTCATCAGAACAAGGTATCTTCGTTAAAACAAAAATCAAGCTAACAAGTAAATAAAACTCACCAGAAAATCCCTAAAAAGCGGTATATATACTCTATATCTTGAATTTTTTGTGACGATGTTACCTCGCTCTGATGATGTCCGTCACATGACCGACGAAAGCTTAGCACCTTTTCACCGGAATCGAGTGAGATTGCCTCGGAAACAACATCAACCAGAAGGTTCCAGTAAAGCCAACCGACAGCTGGTCAAGAGGAATCCGTCGTCGTGTTCTGGTGGAAGCGACCTTCGAATTTCTTCACCAACACTTTTACTCGAAATGGAAGTAGGCACAACAATTGTGAAACAAGATATTCCTCGAAAGCCAACTTTTTTCCGCATATAAATGTTTAAAGAAACAAAAACGCTTTTCTTGATCCTGTCGTCTTTTAGAGAATTTTCCGACTTCCTCTACAGATCAGGTTCTTTTAAGGTTTTGTGCTAATGTGGTAGTGTTTATGTGGGGGTCACATGTCAACCCACACAGAAGAGGTCATCAGAAGACAGAACCGCCTGCAAACGTTTGCGGATTGAGCAAGTGGAAGTGGCTGAACATGTGGTCGACACAGGACACCAGATAAACTGGTCGAAATCCCAACGTTTTGCCGTTTATGGGACTTCACAGTCAAGCGGAAGATCAGGGAGTCGATGGAAAGAGTATCCTGAATAAGAGGAACGAATTTAGGAAATGAGATAAGAATAAATGCAAAGAAAAGTTGGGTTTCGAGGAATCTATTGTTTCATAATTGTTGAGCCAACTTC